GCTTTTCACAAATGAGATCAGGTTCACCCTGAGCACATGTGACAGACATGAAAGGATCTGGAGAAGCCATGGAGAATGTTATGGTGCCTGTAACATCGTTCAGCTTGACCATTTTTTGGTGGTGGGTCAGTGATGGTCTGGGGAGGCATATTCATGGAGGAACGCACAGACCTCTACAGGCTAGACAATGGCACCCTGACTGCCAATTGGTATCAGGATGAAATCCTTGGACCCATTGTCAGACCCTACGCTGGTGCAGTGGGTCCTGGGTTCCTCCTGGTGCACGACAATGCCAGGCCTCATGTGGCAAAAGTATGCAGGCAGTTCCTGGAGGATGAAGGAATTGATACCATTGAATGGTCCCTACGCTCGTCTGACCTAAATCTAATAGAACACCTCTGGGATATCATGTTTTGGTCCAACTGACGCCGTCAGGTTGCACCTCAGACTGTCCAGGAGCTCAGTGATGCCCTGGTCCAGATCTGAGAGGAAATACCCCAGGACACTGTCTGTCGTCTCATTAGGAGCATGCCCCGACGTTGTCAGGCATGCATACATGCACGTGGGGGCCATACAAACTACTGAGTACCATTCTGAGTTGCTGCAATTCAATTTCAGCAAAATGGACTAGCCTGCCACATCATTTTTTCACTTTGATTTTTGGGGTGTCTTTGAATTCAGTCCTCTGTAGGTTGATCATTTTCATTTCCATCAAATGATGGGGCATCCTTACGTTCCTCACACATTACCCAGTCCATATCAGTATAGATATCCAGCACAATATTTTTCCCCATTGAAATCTGATGTGTTTTCAAAGTGTTTCTTTAAGTTTTTTGAGCAATGTATAACAAAGAGTTAAAGCTGAAATTTAGCTAAAACATTTTTTCTGTGCAGTTCTGTTTACATCACTTACCTATAATGAAGTATGTCGCCCAAAATGTGCAAGTTGCTGGATTCTGTAGAAATCTTCACTGCAGGGTTGCCCTGACCTCTTCCTGCTGCTTGAACTTCCAGCACTGTCAGGGTAAACAGCTCCGGGTCTCTGGGCTCAGCTGCACTAAAGATGATCTGATTGTGTCCTCTCCTCCATTGAGAATGTTCTTTCCCCATCAGATCATCTTTAGTGCAGCTCAGCTGGGAGAACTAAAGCTGTTAACCTCAATGGGATCCAGCTGCCTACACATTGTGGGATATACTTCATTACAGGTAAGTGATGTAACAAAAGCTGTAAAGAAAAATTTTTTTCTTAACTAAACTTCAACTTTAAGTGAACTTATCTACATGATAAAACCTTGGGTAAGGCCTCATTCACACAGGACTCCATATCCTTACACCAGTGCAAGGGCTGGTTTACCTGCACAGGTTGTCTGTAAACAGTGTGTGTGTTCAGGGATTGGCACCCACATGATTATGAAATTAAAACTATTGGCTGTGTCCATGCAGTCACTGCATCTGGACGTGGATGGAGATGCCTGTATGAAGATGCATAGAGAACAACTGCGCATTCCTTGTGGGCAAAGACAGCCCTTTGCACAGGTATATGGATTGATATACCCATGGGAATGAGGCCTCAATCTAAAACCTTTTATAAGTGATTGAATAATTCACAGTAATAAATGATTGCATGACTTACACTGTAGTGATCTGATTCTCTTTGCAGGTCCCATTTATTTATATTTTTTTCTTATTCTGTACATATTCTCTACAGCACCAACATGTTTGTATTTTTATTAAAATATCCCGGACATGCACTTTTCTAGTGAGATTTTACCTTTGAATTAAGGCTCTGACATTGTGGAGTGAGTGACGCTAGTTTGACTGAAATCTGTTGGGAGATTGAAAACCTCTCGCCGTGTGATCTGCTGTGTACCAAACTGAGAGAAGTTTCCTATATGAGATAGAAATAAAAAAAGAACACATGAATTACCATGAGACAGTGTTTTATGTTACCTAGTTTATTCTATATACAGTGATACATACCTGGAACTTTTAGTAGTGTTGTACAAAAATAGAAGAAAATGAGCAAAAAGAGGTTTCTGAAATTATTCTACATTGCTATGCCAAAAATATGAAATCTTTATTAACGATATATACCAATTTATCAGCACAAGATGGCAAGCTGCAATGCCCTTTATTGCCAGTAGATTACAACATGCACCACCCTTTGTTACCACTAGATGGCTGCATACACCACCCTATGTACATTTGTACTGTGAAATCTAAAGCTAAATCTCCTGTTCTGTTCTCTGTTCATATTCTCAATTAGATTTGTTAACTGCTTGTCCGCTGCCCTATAGTAGAACTACTGCTGCAGGGCTGCGAGAAATCACATATATATGTGTGATTTGCATTTCCGGGTAGGGGGCGCACGCCAACTGAGGTAAAAAAAGAGCCAAAACATTAAAAAGCACCAAAATGTACATAAAATTTTTTTAAAAATGTGCGTTGAAAAAAGCAGCAAATTGTTTGTTAAAAACGTCACCAAAATGTGCATTAAAAAGGCCCCAAAAAGCCAAACTGAACCTTTTATGGGTATGGAGTGTTGTGTGCGTTGATTACGTATTTGTCAAATGACAAAATGTGCAGCAAAATGCATGTCTGCTAACAGCATTTGGAGTGCCATTAACAATGAATGGCACCCAAAAGCACACTGCGTATTTTCAAATAATTTTAGCACAATTTGGAATTGTGGCAAGATATGTGTATGTTTCCTCCGGGTACTCCGGTTTCCTCCCACTCTCCAAAGACATGCTGGTAGGTTAATTGGATCCTGTCTAAATTGTCCCTAATATGTGTATGTATGAATGTGAGTTAGGGACCTTAGATTGTACACCCCTTGAGGGTTAGGGAGTGATGTGAATGTACAATATATATGTGTAAAGTGCTGTGTAAATTGACGGCGCTATATAAGTACCTGAAATAAATAAAATCTATTTATAAAATAGGATATGTGCATTAAACCATCCAAATCCATGAGGTCCCCTTTAAGTGGATCAGCCAGCCAGCAAGAAGTAAGGATCCTACGTCCTGCGTCTCTTGTGCAGCTTTGCTTCCTCTGGGGGTCTCCAAGAGCAATTAGCTCAAGGCCAAGCCATATATCAAAAAATTTGTATAGTGTGTAGTACTCATAAAATGTCATTTATTGTGGATCAATAGCCAATAACTCCAAACAATTTAATAATTCAGAAGAATAACTAGAAACATTACAAAAATCGGTTCCAGTGCACTGGTAAGATCATAAAATTATGTGGCTGCATCAGCCAATAGCCAAGATGGCCGCCGGACCTCCAGACGGCTCCGGCGGCGTGACGTCACGACGTTAGGGCTCCTCCTTAACGCGTTTCGTGCAATAGCACTTTGTCAAAAGAGTGTGCCTATCGTCAGACGTCGCCTATCAATCTATTTATATAGTGTGGCACGATTTCAAAGTCAGGTGCGATTTGCAAGACATCTGATACAGATGTCTATGCAAATCCCACCAAAAGTAGTACATGTACTACTGTAGAAATCAGTGCGGCTCTGATCAATTCAGAACCGCACCGGTAATACCGCTGTAATTGCGGACACTAGAGTGTGACTTTGCATGTGATTTGCAAGTCACACGGCATGCAAATTGCATGCCAAGTCGCATCCAGTGTGACCAGGGGCTAAAATCAAAACATGAAACCATTAGTGCCCGGTCACACCAGTGTGATTTCAGGTGTGATTTCAAATTGAAATCACATCTAATGAATGTGAATGTCCTAACCTGTGCGATTTGCTGCAGTGTGATTTCTAAAGTAGTTCTTGCATTACGTTTTCTGCAGTTTTTGGTGCGATTTCACTTACTTAGAATATAACAGAAATCACAGTGCAAATCTCAAGAAATCCTTGAAAACCTTTACAAGTAGCAATAAAATCTTCAGAAATCACACACAAATCGTGTGATTTTTAAATTGCAGCGGTGTGACCGATGACTTTCACCCCGGGCACATCAAGCCAGACTTTGAAATCGTGCGACTTACAGTGAAGTCAGCCGATTTCAAAGTCAGGTGACCTGCCAATTTCTGGTGCGATTTGCAAGACATCTGACACAGATGTCTACACAAATCGCACAGAAAGTAGTGCATGTACTACTTTAGAAAATGGAGCGGCCCTGACTAAGTCAGAACCGCACCAATATGACCACTGCAATTGCGGACAATAGGGTGCGACTTGGCATTCGATTTGCAAATGGCGTGGCATGCAAATCACATGCCAATTCGCATCTAGTGTGCTTGGAGACTTAGTGCCCGGTCATACCGCTGCGATTTCAGGTGCGACTTGGGAATTGAAATTGCTGCTGAAATCGCATCTAATGAAAGTGAATGTCAGTGTCCTAACCTGTGCGATTTGATGCAGTGTGATTTCTAAAGTAGTTCTTGCATTACTTTTTCTGCAGTTTTGGTGTGATTACCCATACATAGAACGGAAATCGCACTGCAAATCGCAAGAAATCCTTGAAAATCTTCACAAGTAGCAATAAGGTCTTCAAAAATTGCACGCAAATCGTGTGATATAAAATCGCAGCGATGTGACCGAAAATCGCACCTGAATTTGCGCTCACATGCAAATCGCACGATATTAAATTGCGCGTGTGACCGGTGATCTGTCATTGTCATCCTCAGATGATGATAGCCCCTCCCCCCATGATACAGTCACCAATCACAGGAGCACCCTATAGACAGATGTCATCACACCGCCCTGTACAGACAGCGGGTGAAGCCAGCCTGACACCTGCTCTGGAATGCAGTAATCCAGCTCCCCCCCCCCCCCCCCCCCGGGGGTAGGGCCATTGGAGCGGTCCGTATAGGTGCAGCGCTGACCACACCTCGGCCACCTCCACTCTGATCATAGCTCCCCACGGATCACTCCATTGCACAGGAGGAAGAGGGGGGTCAGCACTGTCGCTCAGCTGATGTCTGCAGGCTGGTTGAGTGTGATCTGCCGGCTGGAGGAGTGATCGGCTGTCCGGGAGGAGGATGGCAGCGAAGGAGCCTCTGCTGGCCACACTGAAAGGTCGGTGTATGGGGGGGACATATGACAGTGGGAGAGGAGGGGGCTGAGATGACAGGGGGGAGGGGCTCTGTCACTATGGAGGGGAGTCTGCAGTCACCCAGCACTCCATTGTAAACTTCCTAGGGGCCCCTTCACACCAGAGTGTGGGGGCCCCATGTGCGATCCCCACACTGTACAGGCAGCGCACTCAGGCATCATTAGGACCTGGGTGACAGCGGGTGCGACTTGGCATGCGGTTTTCCATGCAAATCGCACCCTATTGTCCGCAATTAAGGCAGTCATATCGGTGCGATTCCAACTTGGTTGGAGTCAGGGGTGCACTGACAACTCATGGGGCCCCCAGGCAATAGGGGATCATGGGGCCCCTGTGTCCTTGCCCAAACTCAAAAAAGCCTATGTAAAAGGTACCAGGGGCATCTCATGGGGCCCCCTACTGACCCCGAGCCCTCAGGCAGTGCCCGAGTTTCCAAATAGTCAGTCCGCCCCTGGTCGGAGTGCATGCAATACTTTATGTGCGACTTGTATAGGCATTTAGCCAGATGTCTTGCAAGTCGCACCCCAAGTGAATGACATCCGACTTTGAAATCGTGCGACTTCCAGATTTGAATGTTGGATCGGTGTGACCAGTGGGTAAGGCTTCCTTCACATCATCACGTAGCGGGAACTTGACATCGCCGTTTTCACACAATTCTGCCTGCCATTTAAGTGTATGGGCTGCCATATGCGCTTTTGTCGCTCATAAATGCAACACTCAGGTGTGAATGGAGCCTTACACCCCTGACACACTGGGTGCGACTTGTGAATGGAGCCTTACACCCAGCTCACACGGGGTGCGACTTGTGAATGGAGCCTTACACCCAGCTCACAGGGGTGCGACTTGTGAATGGAGCCTTACACCCAGCTCACACGGGGTGCGACTTGTGAATGGAGCCTTACACCCAGCTCACACGGGGTGCGACTTGTGAATGGAGCCTTACACCCAGCTCACACGGGGTGCGACTTGTGAATGGAGCCTTACACCCAGCTCACACGGGGTGCGACTTGTGAATGGAGCCTTACACCCAGCTCACACGGGGTGCGACTTGTGAATGGAGCCTTACACCCAGCTCACACGGGGTGCGACTTGTGAATGGAGCCTTACACCCAGCTCACACGGGGTGCGACTTGTGAATGGAGCCTTACACCCAGCTCACACTGGGTGCGACTTGTGAATGGAGCCTTACACCCAGCTCACACGGGGTGCGACTTGTGAATGGAGCCTTACACCCAGCTCACACGGGGTGCGACTTGTAAATGGAGCCTTACACCCAGCTCACACGGGGTGCGACTTGTGAATGGAGCCTTACACCCAGCTCACACTGGGTGCGACTTGTGAATGGAGCCTTACACCCCGGTCACACTGGGTGTGACTTGTGAATGGAGCCTTACACCCCACTCACGCTGGGTGCGACTTGTGAATGGAGCCTTACACCCCACTCACGCTGGGTGCGACTTGTGAATGGAGCATTACTCCCCGCTCACGCTGGGTGCGACTTGCCATGTGATTTTTTTCCATGCCGTGCAACTTGAAAATCGCATGGCAAGTTACCCAATTAAAACCATCATAACGATCCGCATTCTGATTTGGTTGGAACCGCACCGATTTCTAAAGTAGAGCATGCATTACTTCAGGTGTGACTTGCATAGACATCGAGGCAGATATCTTGCAAGTCGCACCGCAAGTCGGAATGACATGTGACTTTGAAATTGGGGGATAATATCACATTTCTGAGATGTGCAGCAAAACGCACATTTTCAGTGGCTTTGCTGCACATTCCTGAAATGACTGGGTGTGAATGCAGCCTAGTCTCAATAGGCATTTTCAAATTGTGGGCGGAATCGCTGCTTTTGTGCCTGCGATTTGAAAACACGTGGAGGGACTAGGTTCACACCTAAGTATTTTGCAGAAATGCACAGCAGTCCATATAACATGAAGGGCAGCACAGTGGCTAAATGGTTAGCATTTCCGCCTGGCAGTACTAGGGTCGTTGTTTCGAACCCCAACCACAGTACCACCTGCCTGGAGTTTGCATGTTCTCCCTGTGCCTGCGTGGGTTTCCTCTGGGTACTCTGGTTTCCTCCCACACTCCAAAGACATGCTGGTGAATTAATTGGCTTCTGTCTAAATTGTCCCTAGTATGTGTATGTATGAATGTGTGTTAGGGACCTTAGATTGTACACCCCTTGAGGGTTAGGGACTGATGTGAATGTACAATACATATATATGTAAATTGATGGCGCTATATAAGTACCTGAAATAAATAAATTACCTATGGGACACGTTCACATCTCTGCGTTTTCACCCGGTGCGTTTTTTGGAATGGGTCAAGGACTTTTTTTAAATACAAAACGTTGCATTTGGGTTCAATAGACTTCAGTGGAGACGCTGCAGAAATGCATGTAGTGCATTTTTGATGCGTTTTGTGTTTTAATCTGCCCATCAACAAGTCGGCAAAAAAACCCTGAAAAATTCGTAAAAAAATGCGTCAACCGCATGTGCAAACATGCAAAATGCACCACAAAAAGCACTAGAACCGGATCGAACGCAAACTGCATAGGTGTGAACCTAGCTTTAAAATGTGAAAACATGCGTTTGTGCGGAAAAAAAAAACGCCGCAATCGCAGCAAAAACACTGCGATCGCACAAACAAAATTGCAGGATTTTCACAGCACATTTTCAAAATTGCGGTAATTCACTTGCAGTTTGTGTGAACACCTCGGTCACAACAAACCCCGACTTTGAACTCTTGAGACTTACAGTGAAGTTGCACGATTTCAAAGTCAGATAACATGCTGATTTCAGGTGCGATTTGCGAGACATCTGATACAGATGTCGATAAAGTAGTGCATGTACTGCTTTAGAAATCGGTGCGGCTCCCACCAAGTCAGAACCGCTCAGATATAACCTCTTGAATTGAGGACAATAGGGTGCGACTTGGCATATGAGTCGCAAGGCCTATAAATCGCATCCAGTGTAACTGGGAACTTACATCCTGGTCACATCGGGTGCGACTTGGCATGCGATTTCCCGTGTCCTGCAACTAGCAAATCATGACAAGTCACGCCTATGCATTACGACTTGGTCAGAGCCGCACCAATTTCTAAAGCAGTGCATGCACTACTTTTGGTGCGATTTGCATATGACCACTGTAATTGCGGACAATAGGGTGCAATTTACAAGTCACATGGCGTGCAAATCGCTTCACGTGATTTGTCAAGGTGCGGTTTGGCGTGTAACGATGGCGGCAGAATCTCATCTCGTTTGGGGTGCCATCAAGGGATAGTGCCTGCAATTCCAAATCACAAGATTGTGAACGGGAACTAATTGTTAATGGCACCCCAAATGCAACTAGAAAATGCAGTGCATTTGCGCCCAGGGGCGGACTGACAACTCATGGGGCCCCCGGGCAATAAGGGATCGTGGGGCCCCTGTGTCCTTGCCCAAACTCAAAAAAGCCTATGAAAAAGGTACCAGGGGCATCTCATGGGGCCCCCTACTGACCCCGGGCCCTCGGGCAGTGCCCGAGTTTGCAGATGGTCAGTCCGCCCCTGTTTGCGCCCACCAAATCGCATGGCACCATGGCACGATGCGATTTGGTGAGGTCTGATTTCAAACAATCGGGCCTGCCATGCTTTTTGCACATTCCCGTGTGACTGGAAGCCCACTGAAATGAATGGGCTGTCAGAAAGTGAATGCATGGGAATGTGCCAGAACCTGCCCAGCCTGGTGTGTAGTGCCCCTAGGCCTACAGGTGTGACCGCACACAGATTGGGCAGATAGTTCCCACGGGTGAGAAATGCCGAAAACAAGTCCCTGAGGGCCCATCCACATCACATGCAGCGGGATTGGCTGCATGCCTGTGGCACAGACAGTCCAGGGTGCCCTATGGGCATGGAGCACACTATGGGTGGGCAGTGGAGGGGACGAGTACTGGAGGGAGCTGGTATCTGCACTGAAATGGACAGAAATTCAGCACAGTGCATGGGAGAGCCCAGAGGAGGGGGAGCGATCTAATGCGATCGGGAGACCTGCAGGGACCGCTGCATGCACACACTATGCAGGCCCCTTTATGGTGACCCTACACTATACGATCTGATTGTACAATCCCCTTTATGGTGGTCCTACACTATACAATCTGATTGTACAATCCCTTTTGTGGTGGCCCTACACTGTACAATCTGATTGTACAATCCCTTTTATGCTGACCATACGTTATACAATCTGATTGTACAATCCCTTTTATGCTGACCATACGTTATACAATCTGATTGTACAATCCCTTTTATGCTGATCATACACTATATAATCTGATTGTACAATCTCCTTTATGGTGGTCCTACACTATACAATCTCATTGTACAATCACCTTTATGGTGACCATACAATCTGATTGTACAATCCCCTTTATGGTGACCATACAATCTGATTGTACAATCCCCTTATTGGTGGTCATACACTATACAATCTGACACCAATACAGCCATCAGTGCTAATAAAAAGCACTGACACTGTACTAATGACACTGGGCAGTAAGCCCCCGGTTTCCCACTGATGCGGTGTGGAATCTGTAGCGTTTTTAGTGCAAATTCTGTACCGCATCGCAATCGCACCCAATTCATGTGAACCGCTGAGGGAGTGTATGTTAACGACACCCCGAAATCAGTCCGCAAAACGCAGTGTGATGTGCAGAATCGGATTGCATAGGTGTGAATACCCATGTGATCTGATTCTAGTGCAGACCAAAAAAGGGTCCTGCATGTTTTGGGTGCGGTGCGAATAGAGCCATACAATATGTATGGCTCTGATCGCACCACACACAAATCGCATGTGATTTGCACAGGAATGCGGTGCGGTTCCTGTGCGAATCACATGCGATATACGGAGCCGCACGTATGTGAACCCGGGCTTAGTGGTTAACATCTGGGGCGATCAAAGGGTTAACTGTGTGCTGTGTGTGTGTGTTTCACTGTGTCAGCACTTTGCTTTGCTTTGTATAGCAGAGCCATATAAAGCAGTGTGCAGGAGCTGACAGTGGAGAGATCTGTATTGTTTACATACAGGTCTGTCCCCCCCATCGGAGATACTCAGTGATCGCTGGGTGCCGGCCGGGACCTGCTGATTGACAGCCAAGGCCGCGAATGGCGGCGCGGGTAGTATATATACGTGATTGCGTCCTGTAGCAGTATCTCTGCTATAGGGCGGCGTTGAAGCGGTTAAAGCTTTCCTAGAACAGAAGGTGATCACGCCTCATTCCATCACCTATCCCAAAAATAGATGTCATTTCAGGACAGTGGGCGGAGCTACACAAATCATTGCTTCTCCCCCTATTAGCTGGATTCACAATGAGAACTGCAGGTGTATAGTGCCGAATATTATAGGGGGCCATTTCTTCCAGACGGCATACAGCTGTTTCAGGCTTGTTGGCCGTCATCAGTGAAGTGTATGGAAATCATGACTTCTTTCTCAATCTGGGCTCCTCCAGGGCGTAGGGTTCCTTGAGCAATGGGTAACCTCGGCCTTTCAGATGAGTAGCTGCCAATGACCTTTTGTAGCTATGTGTAAGAAAGAGGAGGACTTTGGTCCCCTAAGTGTGCCTCCACCCCCCTCCCTCTGGAGTGGCCCTCTTTGAACCCCTGGCACATACACAGATGTGCTGAAGGGCGATATGCTCTTGGGACCTGCCAAAGCCCTTCGACACATCTGTGCATGTGCTAGGTTACCCAATGCTTGTGCAGAAACATCCTGAGATGTACTGTCTTTGCACATACATGAGAGGAAGCGTGGTTCCGACGGCCATGTAGAGCCCTTTAGTACATCTACATGTGTGTGGAATTGAGTCATTCTCACCTAGGCTAGAAAAGAGGAAGTGCTGTCCTGCAGGACAAAAAAACTACAAAACACACTTGCTATTAAGGGTGGTAAAGCCCTGCAATTGAGCTGTGTTTTTACTGCCTCTCAACTGCTCCCCCTATTGCTACTGAGGCAACGGCTAGGGGAGTACACATGCTGATGTTGTGATGCCTTACTTCACGCCAGCGGCAGAAATGAGACCCCCCCCCCCCCCACATTCAGGCGGTAAGGAGGTGATACACTGGGGTTTATTTACTAAAGCTGGTTCATTTAGAATCTCATGCACTTCTGCATGGAACCAATCAGCTTCCAGGTTTTATTGCCAAAGCTTAACATCGCTGACACCGGTGGCGGGGGTTATTGCGTCCGTCCGGTGGCGGGGGTTATTGCGTCCGGTGGCGGGAGTTATTGCGTCCGTGTGGCGGGGGTTATTGCGTCCGGTGGGTGGCGTCCGGGGGGTTATTGCGTCCGGTGGCGGGGGTTATTGCATCCGGTGGCGGGGGTTATTGCGTCCGGTGGCGGGGGTTATTGCGTCCGGTGGCGGGGGTTATTGCGTCCGGTGGCGGGGGTTATTGCGTCCGGTGGCGGGGGTTATTGCGTCCGCTGACGCCGGTGGCTGGGATTATTATTGCTTCCGTTGACACCGATGGCGGGGGTTATTGCGTCCGCTGACACCGATGGCTGGGATTATTATTGCTTCCGTTGACACCGATGGCGGGGGTTATTGCGTGACATTTTTGTTCTGATGCTTTAAAATTTAGTTTATTTAAACTGAAAGTTCCATAAAGCTTTAAATCTTAGTTAAAAAAAAAAAAAAAAAAAAAAAAAAGAAACCATATACTGCAGTCATGCATTACTAGAATATATTTTAAATGCCATTGATGGAAATACTTTGAGCCCGGGTTCACTCTGATGCAGTGCGGAATTCGCAGCGGTTTCTGTGCGAATTCGGCACCGCATCATAATCACACCCCGTTCATGTGAACCGCTGCGGGTGTGTATGTTAGGTTAACAACACCCTAAAATCGGTTTGCAAAATGCGGTATGATGTGCAGAATTGGATCTCATGCGATCCGATTCTATGCACACAGAAAAAAAGAGTCCTGCACTATTTTGTTGCAGATGCGGTGTGATTAGAGCCATACAAAATGTATGGCTCAAATCGCCAAATCGCACCACACAGAATCCACATGTGATTTGCACAGGAATTCGATGTGGTTCCTGTGGGAATCAGATGTGATATGCCGCGCCACATCAGTGTGAACCCAGGCTGATGCTTTAGTCTTTGCCTCATGTAGACTCCTGTATTGCAGACTAGGAGAGGAAAATATGTTGACCGCATGTACTGACCCCCCCCCCCCCCCCCCACTCCCACTGTACTTCTCTCTGTGGGTGATGACCTGTCGCTGCCTTTGCAGCCGGTACAGCGGTCTGGGCATCATTGGTTGCCATAACAGATGTTCTGTAAGGACCCATGCAGACTTTTGCATTGTGGTGATGTGCGTTTTACCATGGATTACTACTAGCCATGATAACAGATAAAGCTACGTGTGCTGCATTGTGGTGACATTCATTCTGAATAGACCAGGTGCCTGTAGGCACTGCATTCTTCTTGTGGTATCTGCTATTAAAAAAAAAAAAATTGTGGTGCATTGGTAGCCTCTACAAAATTTTCTGGGCTATCTTAACAAGGGCAATTCTGAACAGACAGTGGATTCCTGTCGCATGAATCGCAGGCGTATGTGCACCTGGAACACTTATCTGAGTGTAGATGCTTCGCTCTACGCCTGTCATTCATTTGTTGTTCACATACACCTGTTATTCCTGTTGTAGGAATCTGCTGACGGTTCATAACACGTGAATGTTGCAAGGCATGTTAACATGGAAAATATTCAACGATAACACCCGTAGGGTAATACATTGGACTGGTCTGTCGCTTTTCTTCTTTGTGTCTGCTTTGGTTGCGGGACAAGTATTGGAATTCATATTAGAAGGGAAGGCCACCTGCTATAGATTACAGCACCTAGTATATTCTTAGCCTGGGTTCACACTTCTTTGGTGCGGCATATCGCATGTGATTCGCACAGGAATCGCATTGCATTCCTGTGCGAATCACATGTGAATTCTGTTCGGTGCAATTTGAGCCATACATTTTGTATGGCTCAAATCGAACTGCATCCACACCAAAAAGGTGCAGAACCCTTTTTCTTGGTCTCACTAGAATCGGATCACTTGGGCATTCACACCCATGGTATCCGATTCTGAACATCTCATGGTGTTTTGTAAACCGATTTCAGGGTGTTATTAACTTAACATACACACCCGCAGCGGTTTGCATGAACGGGGTGCGATTGTGATGCGGTGCACAGAAACCGCTGTGTGAACCCAAGCTGAGACCAGCTGATTTCAGTGGCTTAAAAAAAAAAATTGCTGGCTGAAATGTTTAGGACTTATTTACACTTGTGGTCAGGGGTAAAAAATAGGTGGTTGAGCTATGTTTTTACCACCCCATTTCCCCCATACGTTGCAAAGGCAGCTAGACAGGGTTGTACGCATGCTGCAGCCGCAATGCTGCGCTTTGCGGCCATGGCAGAAATAATAATCCCAGCAGCACAGAGTGTGACCCAGTCAAGTAAATAGGGTTGTACTTCCACCTCCTTTAAACCACATGCAGTGCCGGTGCTTGTGGTGTGGGCTTCACAGGGTTAAAACAGTAGTGAGGAGGTAACAAATCCGCTCCATGCTTGAAAAGCGATCCTCCACAGATTGTTTTTTAGAGGGGTGGTAATGTTTGCCACTAGTGTAAACTTTGCCTTACCGTTCCTTACCTATATAGAAAGGAGAGGAAAGTGCCATCACATTTGCGCCACATTGACCGAGTCAAGTAAGTCCTGCCAACTGAGGACAAGCCGGCATCCCACTGGCCCCCCGATTGAATATACAACTGTACAGAATAGTCCACGACATTCAGCCATCTATAGTTTGAAAATCTCAAACTGGGGTGGAAATGAATTGGTATAATAGTGGCTGTAATCGTTTTCTACAGCAGTTTGCGGCTTTGGGGTGGAATGCGAGTGACCGATTGCTCTGGTCTATTCAATCTCATAACTTTTTTTTACTTTGGTCTGATGGACATTATCAGGAATTACAACGTGGAAGCTCAGCACTATTACTTGTGTGGTTTAGCGGGCTCGTTAATTTTATAGATGTATTATTATTATTATACAGGATTTATATAGCGCCAACAGTTTGCTCAGCGCTTTACAATATAATGTATTTTCTTCGCAGTGTGCGTCCTTGAACTGCAGACGGCTGGTTCTGATACTATCACGGATGATTCCCCATGTGTGACTCCGCTGTGCGATGTCATCGAGATGATCCTGCGTAAAGGAATCAAGAGTAAGATGTCCAGAACAGATTGTCTACCTTAGAATTATCCCTTACTCCTAAAACCTAGCATTCCTATTTATAATTCTGAACTCTCTGATTGTATGAAGTGGAGAGGCGGGGTGGTGATGTCACAATCTCCTTGTCCAATCAAAAAGTTTAAAATCTGACTCCAATATTTTTTGATCTAGGTTTAGATAGGACACATTCCAATTTCTGTAAGTTTTTAATTTTAGCTAAAGGACTGAATATTGCTCTATAATACGTATAAAATTCAACAAAGCCATCCACAACGCTGCCCCTAGCTACATCACCAACCTCAAACATGCACTGGTTACCCCCATTCTCAAAAAACCCTTTCTGGACCCCACCTGTCTGGATAACTTAAGACCCATCTCCCTGCTCCCGTTTGCCTCCAAGCTTCTCGAGCGCCTTGTTCACAACCGTATGAACTACCTCACCGACAACAACCTTCTTGATCCCCGACAGTTTGGCTTCCGCCAACAACATTCCACAGAAACTGCCATACTAAAACTCACTAATGACCTACTAACTGCTGAAAGCAACGGCCATTACTCCATACTTATACTCCTTGACCTTTCCGCTGCCTTTGACACAGTCGACCACCCGCTCCTCCTCAGTAAACTCCACTCCATCGGCCTCCGTGACTTTGCTCTCTCCTGGTTCGCCTCTTACTTTTCTCAGCTCACTTTCAGTGTCACATACAACTCCTCCGCTCCTCTCCCCTTTCTGTTGGGATACCCCAAGGTTCTGTCCTTGGGCCCCTCCTTTACTCTCTCTATACCTCCTCCCTGGGCCAATTGATAACCTCCCATGGCTTCCAATACCACCTCTATGCTCATGACACCCAGATCTATCTCTCCACTCCCCAGCTCACCCCCTCAATCTCCTCATGTATCACAAATCTAAGCGACATATCAGCATGGATGTCACATCACTACCTTAAATTCAATATTCCAAAACTGAGCTGTAATATTTCCTCCCCCCCCCCGATCCCCCTCTCACGACTTTATCATTAAGATCAACAGCACAACCATTGGTCCTTCCCCTCATGCCAGGGTGCTAGGTGTAATCCTAGACTCTGACCTCTCCTTTGGGCCCCACATCCACTCGCTGGCTAAATCCTGCCGCCTCAACCTCCAGAACATTTCCAAATTCCACCCCTTTCTGACCAATGACACCACAAAACAACTTATCCACGCCTTGGTTATATCCCACCTTGATTACTGCAACTTCCTCCTCACTGGTCTATGGTTACACAGGCTATCCCCCCTTCATTCTATTATAAATAAATGCTGCTGCTAGACTCATACACCTTACCAACTGATCAGCAACTGCTGCCCCTCTCTGCCAATCCCTTCACTGGCTTCCACTAACCCAACGTATAAAATTCAAAATACTAACCACAGCTTACAAAGCCATCCACAACACTGCCCCTAGCTACATCACCAACCTCATCTGCAGATATAGCCCAAATCGCCCACTCCGCTCCTCCCAAGACATCTTCCTCTCTAGCTCCCTCATCACCTCCTCCCACGCTCACCTCCAGGACTTCTCCAGAGCCTCTCCCATCCTCTGGAACTCCCTACCACAATATGTCCCGTTCAGCCCCCACCCAGTCTGCCTGTAGGCGAGCTTTGAAAACTCACTTATTCAGGGAAGCCTACCCCACCTCCACCTAAGAACTGTACTTGAATCATCTCCACCTGATCATCCCCTGCAGCTATCAACTTTTGTATCATCTCCCCCTTACTTTAGATTGTAAGTTCCACGAGCCGGGCCCTCCTATTCCTTCTGTACTGAAATGTATTGTAATTGTACTGTCTCCCTTGTATTGTAAAGTGCTGCGCAAATTGTTGGCGCTATATCAATCCTGTATAATAATTGCTCACCGCCCAATGCAATCATATTGTATGCAGAGGAATCATAGATTTTGGTGCTGACCATGAATTGCTTGGAAGGAGCCATCCTGGTAACATTAAAGTGTTACTAAACCCCAGACCCTGCATTCACTATATCTGATCTCCCCCAGTACACACGACATGGAAATGCAATAATTTTAGTAAACAAACTGCTAAATACCTTTTCTTATCAGCAGTATATAGCAGTCTTGTGACTTCTATCAGTGTCCAGCTGAGCACTGGTTAACCTTGTAGGAGGAGTTTTCTTTCTGCTCTAGGAGGATGCAGAGCCTCTGACCTCTGTCAGCACAGGGCCAATCAGCACAGTCCAGAACACATGCACTCTCTCAAGAAAAAAAAAAACCTGTCTAGCAAAACACACCAAACTGAGCATGTGCAGAGTTTCTCCACATGATATGTCTTATCAGGGGATAAGAGTGGGACAATGGAAGAAGGAGAGGATCAGAGAAGACAGCCTTTTTACACAATGCAGCGGATTAACCCCTTAGGTTCCACAGTGAGTATATCAAGCATGCTTTACCACATATACAGACTGATTTTACTGTGTTGGGTTCAGTAACACTTTACTTTAATTCCCAATTAAATTGTTCTTTCAGTACTAGTGGTTTATATTTGGCTGGCCAGAGATAGATAGAATTTAGAATGAAAGTTCTTAGGAAAATTCTCAAAACATTAAATTTGAAAGCGTTTATATACGTTCAACATTTGATTCTGGAGAGAATGGATTTTACCAGATGAAAACCCACATGCACTGTTAGAAATTCTTTCATTCAATAAGTTTTCCATCCTGCTCCTTTGAATTGTCTTGTCACTTCAGTCGAAAACGATTGTCTATTTGATCCCTCCAATGATTAGAAAAACAAACAAACTTTCTTGGAACATTCCTTTTCTAAGAATTTTCCTTCAAAATTCTACCCATCTATGGCCAACTTCATAATCCTAAAAATGAATAGGATATATATAGTACATTTTTATTTTTATACCTTTTTTGTTTCTTCCAGGTGGGGTTATGGGGTTAAGAAGAAGAGATTACTGGCACTGGATAGAGGATCTTCCTCAGCAGGATACCTGTGGCAGGTGTGAACCAAAACGTGGCATGGTTGGTAACCATTGGTGGAGGGCAGTTCAGCGTGTGAAGGCGATTTCCACAGGTCCGAGAGTCAATTACATAAGCCAAGGCTTAGCCCCGGTTCACATCATAGCTCACATGTGAATTGTACAGGAACTGCACTGCATTTCAAATGTGATTCATTTTGAGTATGCTCAATTCACACCGCATAGCACCTAAATACATGCATGAACTTTTTCTTGATCCCCACTGCAAATGGTTTGCTTAGTCGTGTACCATATCATCATATAGCATTTGCAACGTCATTCACATTGTATTGACACTCACAGCAAGTCAGAAAAAAAAGTGTGATTGCAATGCGGTGTGGGAAATGCACAGCGATTGCTGCGTTTCCCGCACTACATGTGTGTTTTGGCAATACTTTATTGCCAAACGTATTGGGCCAGCCCTCCAAATCATTGGATTCAGATGTTCCAATCACCTCCATGGACACAGGTGTATAAAATCAAGCACCTAGGCATGCAGACTGCTTCTACAAACATTTGTGAAAGAATGGGTCGCTCTCAGGAGCTCAGTGAATTCAAGCATGGTACCGTGATAGGTTGCCACCTGTGCAATAAGTGCAACTGTGAAATTTCCTTGCTACTAAATATTCCACAGTCAACTGTTCGTGGTATTATATAGCAAAGTGGAAGCAACTGGGAACAACAGAAACTCAGCCACAAAGTGGTAGGCCACGTAAAATGACAGAGCGGGGTCAGTGCATGCTGAAGGCGCATAGTGCACAGAAGTCGCCAACTGTCTGCAGAGTCAATAGCTAAAGACCTCATGTGGCCTTCAGATTAGCACAACAGTGCATAGAGAGCTTCATGGAATGGGTTTCCATGGCCGAGCAGCTGCATCCAAGCCTTAAATCACCAAGTGCAATGCAAAGTGTCAGATGCAGAGGTGTAAAGCACGTCACCACTGGACTCTAGAGCAGTGGAGACATGTTCTCTGGAGTGATGAATCGCGCTCTCTGTCTGGCAATCTGATGGATGTGTCTGAGTTTGGCGGTTGCCAGGAAAATGGTACTTGCCTGACTGCATTGTTACAAGTATAAAGTTTCGTGGAGGGGGGATTATGGTGTGGGGTTGATTTTCATTGGTTGGGCTTGGCCCCCTAGTTCCAGTGAAGGGAACACCTTTGGGATGAATTAGAGCCGAAACTGTGAGCCTGGCCTTTTCGTCTGACATCAGTGCCTGACCTCACAAATGCGCTTCTGGAAGAATGGTCAAACCTTCCCATAGACACATTCATAAACCTTGTGGAAAGCCTTCCCAGAAGAGTTGAAGCTGTTATAGATGCAAAAGGTGGGCCAACTCAATATTGAACCCTATGGACTAAGACTAGGACGCCAGTCAAGTTCATGTGTTTGTAAAGGCAGGCCGACCAAAACCTTTGACAATATACTGTGTGTGTGTGTATGTATGTATGTATTTATGTGCATGTATATATGTGTTCCTTTAATTTTTTTGAGCAGTGTGTGTGTATATATATATATATATATATATGTATGTGTGTATATATATATATATATATATATATATATATATATATATATATATATATATATATATATATATATATATATATATATATATATATATATATATATATATATAAAAATATATACACACACTTTTTAGTCAGAGTATAGCATCAAGTCAGGTAAACATCTGGGATATTTGTATGGTCAGTTAAGCAGCGGGGGGGTGTTCATAATCAGTTTCAGCTGCTTTGATGTTAATTAAATCAACAGGTGCACTAGATGGGCAACACTGAGGTGACCCCCAAAACAGGAATGGTTTTCCAGGTGGAGGCCACTGACATTTTTTTCCCTACTCCATCTTTCCGGACTGTTTTTTTTTTCACTAGTTTTGCATTTGGCTAGGGTCAGTGTCACTACTGGTAGTATGAGGGGATTCCTGGACCCTACAGAGGTTGCACAGGCAGTCCAACTCCTCCAGGATGGCACATCAATACGTGTCATTGCCAGAAGGTTTGCTGTGTCTCCCAGCACAGTCTCAAGAGCATGGAGGAGATTCCAGGAGACAGACATTTACTCTAGGAGAGCTGGACAGGGCTGTAGAAGGTCCTTAACCCATTAGCAAGACTGGTATCTGCTCCTTTAGACAATGCCTGGCCTCATGTGGCGAGAGTATGCAGGCAGTTCCTGGAGGATGAAGGAATTGATACCATTGAATAGCCCCCACACTCGCCTGACCTAAATCCAGTAGAACACCTCTGGGATATCCTGTTTCGATCCATCCGACGCCACCAGGTTGCTCCTCAGACTGTCCAGATATTTCCTAGTACTTTAATTACATCCCCTCCAATGAGTATCAGAATATCAATACACACAAAAACTTCAGAACAACTAGGATCCGAATTGTGAAAATCACGGAAATGCTTTCTTTTTTTATGTTCCACCAACATGTTCTTTAAGTCGGCTCAGTGATGCCCAGGTCCAGATCTGGGAGGAAATACCCCAGGACTCCATCCATTGTCTCATTAGGAGCATGCCCCGACGTTGTCAGGCATACATACAAGCATGTGGGGGCCATACAAACTACTGAGTACCATTTTGAGTTGCTGCAATGAAATTTCAGCAAAATGGACTAGCCTGCTGCATCATTTTTTTCACTTTGATTTTCTGGGTGTCTTTGAATTCAGTCTTCTGTAGGTTGATAATTTTCATTTCCATCAAATGATGGGGCATCCTTACGTTCCTATTTTCCCCATTGAGAACTGATGTGTTTTCAAAGTGTCCCTTTCATTTTCTTGAGCAGTGTGTATATATATATATATATATATATATATATATATATATATATATATATATGTAAAGTGAAAAAATTGTGTGCTGCCAAATATATCAAGAACAAAAGCTGCATAAAATGTGTGTTCATCACATGTGAAGAATAGAAAACTAGTGTGTAGAGTTGCGCTGCTCAAATCATTAAAACATAAAAACCATAACAAAAAGCCCAAAACCACATATGTGAAACTTAAACGTGAAAGTCCAAAAGAAAGAAAGTGAAGGAAAAACAACTCTTCAGCAAATCTTGACGTAAAAAAAAAAATGTTTCTACTGGCGAGAGAGCCCACAATCCCGGTGCTGTAAATCTTTAAATGGTATACACCACCACGGTGAGCATGTAATATAGGTGGACCCTCACTTCCATGTGTGGACTCGTATAAGAAACGGGGCAACCAGGCATCTCCCCTGCTAGTGGGGGGTAAAATAAAGATCTCTCTTCTATGGATAATCCTCCCCTCATATATGGCCACTGTATCATCCAAAAGGACCTTTTAGCGGTATAGCTAAAAACTCATTAAAAGTTTATTAAAATACACTTACATGGTAACATTAATAGAAAACGCAGTATAAAAGTAGTGGTAAAGCTGTAACAATGCACCAAGCTGTGTCTCCTACTGTGCTGATGGCGTTCTGGCTCTGACATCACCTCGCTCCTCCCCATGCGTATCGTCACGCACCACGTGAATTCACGCAGACTTCACCTACTTCACCCAGACTAACTATGTGACTATATAGAATAAAGCAAGGTGCAGCGCTAAAATGTTATGTTAAGTTATATGGACATGTAATATTCAAACATCTTCATATAAAAAATACAATAAAATAACCTAAACCGATATCAAGGTGCAAGTAAACCCGTCACCTAATGGTGACTATAGGTGATTGGGCACTAGACCAAATGGTAAGCAGCAAGAAAAAATACTGACCCATACATATGCAAATGGCTGCCGGGGCCCTCGTGGCGCCGGTCGGCGTGACGTCGCACCGCTGTCAGGCAGCGGCTACAGCGGTGTGACGTCACGCCGACCGGCGCCACGAGGGCCCCGGCGGCCATTTGCATATGTATGGGTCAGTATTTTTTCTTGCTCCTTCCTGTACCTTTTCGGAATAAACACTCCTTACCATAAGGATATCACACTATCTGGCCTCCTTTTGTTCTTTGAGCTCTGGTGGGAGCCATTTACACCTGCAGAGTGGCTATTTCCAAACGTGGCAGCACTACCAAGCAGTGAGGGGCATTTAACCAGATCTGACCAGACCCACATAAGGATCCTTGATGTCCTGAGATTATCTACCCTAAATGCGCATTGAGATTGCGTATCTGGTGAGTGCGCAATCTTTATACATCCATCACCTCATCCACGGATTCAGCCATTGGATTTTTGAAGATCATTTGGGATCTTTTCTAGTCACACTATAGACTGTATTTGGTCTAGTGCCCAATCACCTATAGTCACCATTAGGTGACGTTTTTACTTGCACCTTGATATTGGCTTATGTTATTTTATTGTATTTTTTTATATGAAGATGTTTGAATATTACATGTCCATATATCTTAACATAACATTTTAGCGCTGCACCTTGCTTTATTCTGATCATTCTGGAGGTTTATATGGTGCCTTTTTGGTGTTCAGCTGCTGTTTTTTTTTCAACTTATTTATAATTTTACTCTAGCGCTCACTTACCCTGTGATTTACTATGTGACTATATAGCATTTCGATATTCAGAATGTATGGTACAGACATTTTGCTTTTTTTTTTTTTTTTTTTTTTCGCCAAAGCCCCTGAACTAAAATCTACAAAAGCCAATGTGTCCATGTACACATAGGCTTTTACCAGAGTTTAGGAGAAGAATTGTGCTCAGGAGAGGAAAGTTTTGACCAAAATACACTAAACGCGGCAAAAATACAGCTAAATGTGTCTAAACGCTAGCCGCGATTAGCGCTTTGCCGTTTATCCATGGCAATGGAATATACTGCGGCCAATCAAATTAATAAATTTCCAAGCGCTAAGCACAGCTTAACGTGGGTAAATGCGATGAAGCGCGGTACCATGTTTACACACGGTTTTGCCACGTTTAGTATTTCTCTGCTACCAGGAGAGCTTAAGATCCAGGGGAGTTCATGTGTACATGAGGCCTTAGGAGACTGATGTTCTTCTTTAAAAGACATTCATATTTAATTTCTTTTTTTGCATTCCTGCCTAACAGGCTATCATACCTCTCCGTCATGATACAAAGTACTATTGCCTGTACTAAGGTTTTAACTGCACAAGGAAGAGGAAGGTATTTTCTACGACTGGCTCTCAACAGGAAAACCATAGCGGCTGCAGTCCAGCACTTACAGCACACACAGAGACTGCTGGAGGTAGGTTCTAGTATTGATTGGGACTTTGTAATACATCTGCAACATATAGAGATGAATGCATTAAAGAAGTATATCCTTTTTTGCCAATCTGTGATAGCAAATGTTAAGTAGGACACTGAATACCCCAATGTGCATTATGCTTTATGAGTAAGAGATTATTTAAGTACTTTACTAACTATACTATGGTGGTTTTTTTTTTTTTTTTTTTTTTTTTTACCCTGATCACCTTAGAAAACCAGTCAGCCAAGTTCTGCTCCAGCTGTAATGGTTGTGCTGTGTTTGCTATGTGTAATGTGTGCTGAGCATATATAGAAGACAATAATTATTGAAGATAATTATTAATTTATCAATCACTACATTTTATCATTTTATTTTTAAATGCAGCTAGTGTATGTACCTGACTTGGACTTATGTTGGCTATACAGTGATGGAAATGTGGCCAGTTCAGCAGGGACTGGCCAAACTCTGATCAGTGTTGTCTCTGTCCCCGCCTGACAGTAGCTAATTGTTTAACTGACTTCTGCTGAAGGGACATGCTGGAAAACGTATCAATCAGCAGCTGCACCCAATCAGCTACTCAGTGATCAGTGTATTCTGTGGATTTGTGTGGATCAGGGGTGGACTGACAACTCATGGGGCCCCCGGGCAATAGGGGATCATGGGGCCCCTGTGTCCTCGCCCCCACACTCAAACCATACCCAAAAAAGCCTATGAAAGGAACCAGGGACATCTCATGGGGCCCCTACTGACCCCGGGCCCTCGGGCAGTGCCTGAGTTCCCCAATGGTCAGTCCGTTCCTGGTGTGGATATAGGAATCTGTTTTTCCAAGGGCTGTTAAACACCATATGCAGTCCATTGTGGGGGTTTTTTTTTTTCTGCATCAAAAACGCATGGATAGTAGGTTATTTCCAATAACATAGTTCACACCAGTGTGGTCAGTTCCAGTGTGTTCCAGTTCCAGACAAAAAAGTAGAACATGCTACATTTTTTCTGCACTGAACTGTGCTGGAACGCAGTAAAATGCACCGGAACACACATGTCCTTATTTAAGGTAAAGAAAAAATGAGGGAGAAAATGCACCAAAACGCATCTGTACTGCGTTTCTATGGTATGAACCGGCCCTTAACAGCATATAGACAGCTTTAGTATCAGTATCCTCCAATCCTGTGCACAGTAGAGCTCCGACTGAAGGAGGAAGGGGCAGGACTGGAAGCCAGTCAAGTTTGTTGCATGCAACCATACTGAGGAAGAATAAGGCGACAGAATAAAGTGATGACCTCCTCAGTCTCTTGCTGTTCTTTCACTGTCCTGTCTCCAGGTTGGGTTCAGAGAAGACAACACTGTTTTTTTTTCAGTCTGTAACTGTAAACGTGGTGTCATGTTCTACCAGCATGTATCTACATTTCTTAGTTTCATACTGGTTTCTATCACATTCTTGCAAAGAAAAGTCCTTCCAAAGCTACTTCACCTAACCACTGTTGGGGCTTTTATACAGGAATCCATTTCTTTGTAACTATGAGCATTGAAATATTGGAGCACCCATTGTGGACCTTTTTACCCCTAGTTCACATATCCGCGTTCCTGCGGGCCACGTTTTGCGCAGGTACCAGAGCCCATTCATTTGAATGAACTCCGGTGCCCTGGGACATGCAGGGAAGAAGTCCCTGCACTTCTTCTGAAAACACAGCCCGCATGGGAATCTCGGTTCCCAGTACGGTTGCGATTTCCAGTGCGGACAGCGTGCCATTAGAATTAATGGCACCCGCCCGCAGGTCCTGGACAAACCACAAAAAGTTGTGAGATAGTGGAGCGGTTGAACTGCATTCTTCTGTGTGGGTGGTGCGGGTGCACGGATTTTCGTGCGGATCCGCAGCCGCACCACCCGCACATATGTGAACCTAGCCTTAAAGATGCATGCTCCAGTGCACTCGTTCTCATTCTGGATTCACTTACTGAAGTGTCACGGACATGGAACAAACATGTATCTAGTAAAGTGTGAAAAGTACATCCCACACTTTTAAATACAAGCCAGCAATATTAGCTCCTAATATATCCTCACAAATTCTCACTTAAAATACAAAATAGAACAGAGCTCCATGATTCAGTTCATTCTCTCTATCGTCTGCTGTTACATTTATTCTTTAGTTTGGTTATATTGGAACATTACATGCTGTGAAGCATTATAATTTATACGCTGTGGTTTGCCTTTTGAAGAATGGGCGAAGAAACCGCTTCCTTACCTGCCCTATAGCAGAACTACTGATACAGGGCAGCAGTGCTGCGCAAAAGCAAAAAACACGTGTATATATACGTGACTGCATTTCCGGGTAGAGGGCACGCACATTTCCGGGTAGAGGGCACGCTGTCCTACCCGCGCCATCATTGGCGGCTACAGATGTCGATCACCAGGTCCTGGCTGGAGATTCCCTGCCGGCAATCGCCAAGGAATAGTGACGGGAGAGACCTGTGTGTAAACAACACAAATCTCTCTCCTGCCAGCAGTAACATGCTGCTGTGGTTTTCTCTGCACAACAGAGAAATACACAGTAGCATGTTTACACACACAGCACACAGTTAACCCTTTGATCGACCCAGATGTTAACACCTTCCTGCCCAATGTCATTAGTACAGTGTCCGTATTTTTTTTTTTTTTTTTTTTTTTTTTTTTATTGTATCTTTATTCATTTTTTTTCCCCCCCAATATTACAAAAATCCCTATGAAACCAACAACATACAATATAAAAAAATCATATTTCATCACAATCCCCATTCCAGTATTTACCCTCCCGCCCCCCTCCCTCCACCCTTTGTTCTCTTATTCCTTCCAACCTCTTTGTATTCTACCTTTTGTTATTTTGTCTCACTCTTTCCCTCCCTTTTTCTCTTCCTTCTCTCTTTACTTTCTTTTCCAAATTCTTATTTATTTTCTTTTTTCTTCATCCTCCAACTGCTTCTAGGAATCTTTTTGATTTTTTTTTAAATTGTGCCATTCCTCCCAGATCTTCTTAAAATTTTCTGTTTTATCCTCGTCTATGTGATATAGTTCTTCCATTCTACATATATACTCCACCCTTTCTATCCAGTCTTTGATTTTTTGGCGCTTCTAATGCTTGCCAATGCTTAGGGATTTTTTTACTTTTTTAGCTGCGTTTAAAAGATGAAAAAGGATCATATTTTGAATTGCTTTGTTTTATAAAATAAACAATCCCATGGGCCTGTCGGTATACTGATCGTCTGAATCTCTTGTATATATTGCATTATTTCCCTCCAAAAATCCTGTATTTTGAGACAGCCCCACCAGATATGTGCCATCGTACCCTTGCTCCCACATCCCCTCCAACATTTGGGTGAAGCTTCTGGACTCAATTTATGCATCACATTGGGAGTAATATTCCATCTTCTTAAACAGTTATTAATTTCAATATTCATATTTACCACCCCATGTGTTAAACTAATCATTTTATTTTTCTGTTGCTCATTCAATTTAATTTCAAGCTCCAATTCTCACTTCTCCAAAAAATTTTGGGATGTTGGTCTCTCTATTTCAGTAAGTATTTTATATATCCTTGAGGCGATATGTTTCTGTATTCATTTTGTACTCTCTAGAGGATACATTTCATCCTCATTTCTTAGTGGTTGTGGGAGCTTTCGGACAAAATGTCTTATTTGGCAATACCGTCACTCATCTAGTGTAGAAAATATTTCCTTCTTATTTTTCACTTGTGTAAAGAACATAAAACCCCTCTGTCCACTATATCCTTTAACCACTTGCCGTCCGCCTGCTGTTTATAAACGGGAGGGCGGTGGCAGTCCAGGGGCGGGTTGCCGTTCATAAACGGCACCCGCCTTTTCTAGCTGTGCGCGCTCCCTGGAGAGCGCACAGCACCGCGATCCGGTGCCCGCTGTGTCCTCCGGACACAGTGAAACACCAATTGTCGGACGGGACCTCTGTGCGAGGTCCCGATCATGTGATCACTGATTGGCCAGGGATGTAATTTGCCTGGTAGAGATTTTGTATGGGCGATGTTAATTTTATTCCCAAATACTTTAATTCTCATTCTCTCTCTCCCTCTCTCTTTCTCTCTCTTCTTTTTGTAATATTTGCTTCTCGACCTCCGAAACATTTATATTTAATATCTCACTTTCTGAGGGGTTAATTATCAAGTTAGATAGCTCTCCGTACTCTCAATTTTCTCATTAAGTTCAGTAATGTTGATCTGGGGTTTCTCACATAGAACAGCATATCATCCGCATATGCTGCCACTTTCTGTTCAGTGTTCCCTGTCCATATTCCCCTAATATCTATGCTATTTCTGACAGTTGCTAATAGCGGTTCTAGAGATATAACAAGCAACAGCGGAGACAATGGGCATCCCTGCTTGATTCTGTTATACATCCTAAAAAATTTTAATCTCAATGTATGGAACATAAATCCCCAGTATACTCTGTCAAACGCTTTTTCAGCATCGACTGACAAAACTATTCCCGGTTCCTCTCCTCTTTCATTCTTCTGTAGGGTAAGCAGTGTTCTTAGACCACTGAAATTCCCTCTCTGCCCGAGATAAAGCCCACTTGATCTAGATGTAGCCAATCCATCATCAAATCTTTCATCCTGTTGGCTAACACCTTTGCATACAATTTTGTATCGGTTTTTAGTAAAGATATGGGTCTATAGCTAGCACACTGAGACCCATCCTTCCCCTCCTTGGGTATTACCGTAATATATGCCTGTAGCTATTCCTCCCTCATCTTTGTCTCCCCTCCTAGAGCATTTATATATGAGCACAATTTAGGGACTAGAATTTCTTTGAACATTTTTCAATATCTTACGGTAAACCCATTATGTCCAGGACTCTTTCCAGCTGCAGTGCTTTTTATTGCTAAATTTACTTCTATTGATATTGTGTTGTCTAGAGCTGCCAATCTAGTTTTATCCACCCTAGGTAAACTGGCCTCACTCAGATAAATCTGCCTCTTCCTCCACCTCCTCTCCTCCTCTGATTTCTTCTGGTTCTTTCCTTCTATTCCATATAGGCTGCTATAGTAGTTCTGGAATGTGTTAGCGATTTATTGGTGGTTGAATAAACCACTTCACCTTTTTCATTTTTCTATGTTTTTTTTATATAATTCCTTGATTTTTTTTTTTTTTCCCCTCAGTTTTTTCATCAAATATTTCCCTGGCTTGTTATCGATGGGGGATCGATATCTTTTTTTCGAAACCCTGTTAAAAGAACTTATGGAACAGGAAACTAGGAAAATCTTTAACTCCTCTATTTTTATTATTGTCTTTTGTTGTAATTCTCTGGTTATATTCTTTTTATGTAATTGTTGCAACTGATATAGTTCTTCTGTTAATATCCTAATTCTGTTTCCGCGCTCTTTCTTTCTGTTTGCCCCAGTGGCAATCAGTACACCCCTAATATAGGCTTTATGTGCTTCCCATGTCATAGCAATAGAAACCTCCTTGGACTCATTTAAATTAAAGTACTGATCTATTTCCTGCTTTACTTTTATTTCTACTTCTGGGTTTTGTAATATAAACTCATTTAATCGCCACATATTTATTTTATTCTGTTCCCTTACGAGCTGTAGTCTCATTGTGACAGGAGCATGGTCCGATATAGATGTTACTTCTGTATTCGTTTTCATCAAGGACTCCAAGAGTCTATGTTCAGTTAATATATAATCCGATCTTGAATACATCCTGTGCGCCGCAGAGAAGAAGGTATAGTCTCTTTCCTTTTTGGGTGTTTGATCCTCCAAGCATCCATCAATTGACATTGCTGTAACTTTTTTTTTTAATATTCTTTAGACTCCTATCTCCCTCTCTCCAGGTGCATGATGAGGCATCCATCCCTGGGTCCATGGAAAAATTTAAATCCCCTGCCACAATCACACCAACCCTTTTTTGAAGTCCATTCATTTTGTTAATATTCCATCCAGATATATCGTCAGATTTTTATTAGGACAATAAATATTTGCTAGTGTACATTCTCTTCCCTTTAGTTTCCCCTTTTAAAAATAGATATCGGCCTTCTGGATCCACCAGCTTTTCATCTAAAGTAAAATTTTATATTTTTTTCCAAATCCTATCACCACACCCTTTTGCTTGTCTGGGGAATCTGTGTAATACCAGGTTGGAAAGTACCTAGAATATAACTTAATGTTTGAATCCTGGGATATATGTGTCTTTTGAAAAAACTCCACTTCAATAAATCATTGACGTATTTTCCTTAGAACCTTATTTCTTTTTGTTGGAGTATTTAATCCTTTTGCATTATATGTCATAAAATTAACCATATTTTGTTATCCTGTTTCGCTGCTTTCTTTTATACATGCTTTGTAGGGGTAAAGGTGTACTCCTTTTCAGAACAAGAAAATCTCCCCCTTTTTTCTTCCTTTTCCATTTCACGGTGTAAAATCGCCATTTCGTTTTTTATGGAGTTTTCTAATTTTACAAACATATCTGTGATTTTCAGCTTTTGTGGGCATTTCTAGTCTTACTTCTTCATACTTTTTTTCTTTTTTTTTCTTTCACTTTCAAATTTTGACATTTCCCTTAGCTGATTTCTGTCTGATACTTCTAAAGACCTTCTCCCCTGACCTTCAATATGATTTTCCTCTCCTTGTCGTTCCTGAGTTAGACCCTCTGGAATTTTCTCCTGTAGGGGCAAATATTTTTTTTTATTTTGCTTGTATTTAAGTTTGATTTGGGGGGTTTTCTCCCCCTCCCTTGACAGATCTACTCTTCATTATTCTTTTGAGTGAACAGGGCTTTGGTACTAAATACAGCTCCTGTACTATGTCCGCAGTCTGAGTCCATCTCCTGTACTGTGTCCGCAGTCTCTGGTCTCTGGTCATCTCCTGTACTGTACTGTGTCCGCAGTCTCTGGTCATCTCCTGTACTGTGTCCGCAGTCCGCAGTCTCTGGTCATCTCCTGTACTGTGTCCGCAGTCTCTGGTCATCTCCTGTCACTGTGTCCGCAGTCCATTGGTTTAGAATATTTTTTTCCTGTTTTCTGCCTCTGAAACCTAGCTACGTCTTATGGAGCGAAAAATACGGTACATTTCGTTTGGATGCAGCATTGCATCACTGCCAGTCAGTTAAAGTAACACATATCACCGTATTGCAAAAAATGGCCTGGTCAGGAAGGGGGGTAAATCCTCTGGAGGGCAAGTGGTTAAACATGGTAATTGGTTAATAAAATGACAGAGCTTTATTAAAGTCCTTCTCCAGACACAACTCTCCCACCACCCCTCCACACATTCACTAGTCCTTGTGCCCATTCCAACTAGCTGCCTCCTTGTGATGTCATCGTGCTTCACAGTCTTCTGGAGCCAGGGAGGACCTCAGTGCTGGACAGGAAATCAAAAGTGTCCATGTCACCCAGGCAGTGACATGTACACCCAAAGAAGGACTGCCCTTCTCTGCAAGAAGAAGATCAAAGACTTGGTCTCGGCATGTTATGTGACCATAAATTTAGGTATGTAAATGACATTTTTTTTTTTTTTTTTTTTTTTTTTGTTAATAGGCAATTAATTGGTGGGAAGCAAATTCAGGTGACGAGAGGAAAGGCCTGGAGTTCCACTTTAACACATATTCTATAAATCAGAGAGAATTTGAAATGTCAGAGGAAGAGAGTCAGGGAAGAGCTTGGCTAGAGGGACAAGTGACCCAAGCAAGTAGATCAAATTGTAGGAAATTTGTCATGGGTTTCTGATAAGGTTCTAGATAGCTTCTCATTGATGATAATTAAATAAATCTATTTTACATGTAACTGTTATTGGTACCTGAATGTGTCTTGATAATCCGCATCCTGCGTGTCTCTGCACAGCAGCACATAGATTGGGAGAGACAGGGACAGCTATATGATTCAATATGTAATAATCGCACATGTTCCTGCAGTAGATGAGAGGTAAATGGGTGCTGTAGCAACTACCAGCTCGATGTGATCATGCTCACATGCCCAACGCAGGGGTCCTGCGTGACCCTGAATTGTTGTACTTTAGTGATGTGATCACTGTAAAAAAAAAAAAAACAATAATATGTTATCTTGAAGATCTGTGGTGTGTTGGCGATTTATATGGTTCAGGTGCTGAACATGTGCTGACAGGAGCAGAGACCCCATCAGTTTGCTGCTGTCACTTAATTGCCCTTCTGGGCCAATGACTTTGTGTTGTTGACCAAACTGTGCTGCTGCCATTGTGGAGGATAAAGTTCTGGCTGTGCTATCTGGCAGGGGTGTCCTGATCATAAAATGTATGTATATCTGCATTGTATTTATCTCCTTGCCTAGAGTTTAGCTTTGGTTTGATGGGTGGCTCTCAGTTACTTTGAACTGCATACTGTTTACCGTATTGGACAAGCTTACCATGTCTTCTGTACTAATTTAAATTCCTTTTCTTTCAGTGGTATGATCCGCTGTTCTCTTTGCTTGGAAATGAGGAACATTTAGGTAATGTGGACCAAATTTTTTCTGCAAGCCTTTATAATACAAGATAATGGTATACTCAATTTGCCAGTCAGCTTGTGTTTCGTTAATTTCAGTTCCTCCATACATTTCAAACATAACATTCCACAATATAAAATAACTGAGGGACCCAAACGTTTGTCTTTCAGAACCCTTCCTGTCTTTGCTCCTGGTTGTGTCTCAAAGCAATTTTGCTCTAGATCTTCAGGTAAGTTGAAATCACTTGCACTTGCAAGAAATTTAGCAGTTTTCATGTTTTATTTATTTAATATTTTCTACTGTTTTTAAAATATTGTATTTATTTTATTTTTTTTGGCGGGGGGGGGCGCAATACAGGTGAAACTCGAAAAATTAGAATATCGTGCAAAAGTTCATTTATTTCAGTAATGCAACTTAAAAGGTGAAACTAATATATGAGATAGATTTATTACACGCAAAGCAAGATAGTTCAAGCCGTGATTTGTCATAATTGTGATTATTATGGCTTACAGCTCATGAAAACCCCAAATCCACAATCTCAGAAAATTAGAATATTACATGCAATCAATAAAACAAGGATTGTACATAGAACAATATCGGACCTCTGAAAAGTATAAGCATGCATATGTACTCAGTACTTGGTTTGGGCCACTTTTGCAGCAATTACTGCTTCAATGCGGCGTGGCATGGAAGCTATCAGCCTGTGGCACTGCTGAGGTGTTATGGAAGACCAGGATGCTTCAATAGCGGCCTTCAACTCTTCTGCATTGTTCGGTCTCATGTCTCTCATCTTTCTCTTGGCAATGCCCCATAGATTCTCTATGGGGTTCAGGTCAGGCAAGTTTGCTGTCCAATCAAGCACAGTAATCCCACGGTCATTGAACCAGGTTTTGGTGCTTTTGGCAGTGTGGGCAGGTGCCAAGTCCTGCTGGAAAATGAAGTCAGCATCTCCATAAAGCTCATCTGCGGAAGGAAGCATGAAGTGCTCCAAAATCTCCTGGTAGATGGCTGCGTTGACCCTGGACTTAATGAAGCACAGTGGACCAACACCAAGCAGATGACATGGCTCCCCAAATCAACACAAACTGTGGAAACTTCACACTGGACTTCAAGCATCTTGTAGTGTGTGCCTCTCCATTCTTCCTCCATACTCTGGGTCCTTGGTTTCCAAATGAGATGCAAAAGTTACTCTCATCAGAAAAGAGGACTTTGAACCACTGAGCAACAACCAGGTCTGTTTTTCTTTAGCCCAGGTAAGACGCTTCTGAAGTTGTTTGTTGTCCAGGATCCGTCTGTGTGTGGTGGCTCTTGATGCACTGACTCCAGCCTCAGTCCACTGCTTGTGAAAGTCCCCAACACTTTTGAATGGCCTTTTCCTGACAATCCTTTCCAGGCTGCGGTCATCCCTGCTGCTTGTGCACCTTTTTCTTCCACACTTTTTCCCTTCTACATAACTTTTTATTAATGTGCTTTGATCCAGCACTTTGGGAACATCCAACTTCTTTGCAATTACCTTTTGAGGCTTTCCCTCAGGGAGGGAGGGTGTCCGTGATGGTTTTCTGCACAACTGTCAGGTCAGCAGTCTTTCCCATGATTGTGATTCCTACTGAACCAGACTGAGAGACCATTTAAAGGCTCAGGAACCCTTTGAAGGTGTTATTGCTTAATTAGCTGATTAGAGTGGGACACTTTGAGCCTAGAATATTGCACCTTTTCACAATATTCTAATTTTCTGAGATTGTGGATTTGGGGTTTTCATGAGCTGTAAGCCATAATCATCACAATTATGACAAATCACAGCTTGAACTATCTTGCTTTGCATGTAATGAGTCTATCTCATATACTAGTTTCACCTTTAACCACTTCCCGACCGGCCGTTGCATATAAACGGCCGGACGGTGGCAGTGCAGGGTCGGGTGGCCGTTTATAAACGGCCTCCCCGCACCCTGCTTGTGCGCGCTCCCTGGGAGCGCTCAGCACCGCGATCCGATGCCCGCTGTGTCCTCCGGACACAGTGAAACACCGATCGTCGGACGGGACCTCTGTACGAGGTCCCGATCATGTGATCACTGATTGGCCAATCAGTGATCACATGCAAAGTAGTAAGCAAGATGTCACTTGTGACATCATTGCTTACTACGTGTGAAATCTGTGAATGATCAGAGGTCACATGGTACAAGCCTATTCACAACAGGCTTGTACCATGTGACAAGCTGTGACCAATCACCGCTCACTCAGTACTTCTCAATGAGTGCAAGAATGCACACAGAGAGAAAAAGAAATGATTGCTTTTACATCCTATATGGGTGTAAAAGCAATGTGTAAAAAAAAAAAAAAAAAAAAAAAAAATCTTCATCACCCCCCACAAGTAGTACAGTGTCACCATGGTGACACTGTACTGCTAGGGTGACAGTATGTAAAAAAAATAAAAAATAATATGTAAAAAAAAAATGTTTAAAAATTATACTTTTTGGTTATAAACTAATTTGGATTTTTTTTTTTTTTTACTAAAAAGATAACGGAATAAATTTTGGCAAAGATTTATGATGAAATATTATTTATTTGCAAAATTTTATAAAAAAACACTTTTCAAAATTTTTGGACTTTTTTATTTACATAGCAAAAAAAATAAAAATCCCAGCGGTGAATAAATACCACCAAAATAAAGCTTTATCTGTCTCAAAAAAATGGTAAAAATTCATTTGGGTACAGTGTTGCATGACCGCGCAATTGTCATTCAAAGTGTGATAGCGCTGAAAGCTGAAAATTGCCCTGGTCAGGAAGGGGGTAAAAGTGTCCGGACTGGAAGTGGTTAAGTTGCATTACTGAAATAAATGAACTTTTGCACGATATTCTAATTTTTTCGAGTTTCACCTGTAGCTGGCCTTGCCTGGGGCACAAAATAGTCTAGCACTGGCTCTGGTAGTGGTGGTGAGAGCATAGCTGTGGGAGGGACCCAGCAGACCCCACCCACTACAGGCTGCCTGCAAAAAATGACAGAAGAGGGCGGAGACAAGATCAGTCATCCTGCACAAGAAGAGAGCGTCAGTGACCGGTCTTTATTACAGGAAGCTCCTGCACAGAGACAAAGTTTCACACTGGATTACTGCACAGATCTGAAAGAAATAGAAAAAATACCCCAAGATTCAAGGAAGAATAAACCTGACTCCTTGTATTTAGACAATATTTGCTTAGCTCAGAGTTCAGCTTTATTAACAGCTTTAGCGCCACCCCATAGCAGAAATACTGCTACAGGGCGGCAGCGGTGCACAAAATCACATGTATAAATATATGTAATTTCGGATGGTGGGGGTGCGCGCGCCCTACCCACTCCGCCATGGCTGTCAATCACCGGATCCCGGCCAGTGATCACTCGCCAGCGCCTGCTGATTGCCGAGGATCTTCAACGGGGGGGGAGAACTGTTAGTATACAAAACATTTCTCTCCTGCAGAGCTCCTGTTCTCTCCTGCACACTGCTTTGCATGGCATAGCACAGCCATGCAAAGCAGTATGCTTACAGTGAAGCACACAGACACAGCCCCTAGTAAAACAGCACACTGTTAAGCCTTTGATCGCCCCACATGTTAACCCCTTCCTGCCCAGTGCCATTAGTACAGTGTCAGTGCTTTTTATTAGCACTGATCACTGTATTGGTGTCACTGGGGAAGTCAGTTCCCCCCAGTGTCAGAATGCCCGCCGCAGTCTATATATACCGCCATTTGTAAACGCTATAACTTTCACGTAAACCAATTAATTTACATGTATTGGGATTTTTTTTTAGCAAAGACATGTAGCAGAATACATTTTGGCCTAAATTTATGACAATTTGATTTGTTAAATTTTTTACTGGACATGTTTGATAGCAAAAAGTCAAAAATATTGTTTTTTCTCAAAATTGTTGGCCTTTATTTTTTTTATAACACAAAAAATAAAAAATGCACAGGCGATAAAATACCACTGAAAGAAAGCTCTATTCGTGGGGAAAAAAAGGATGTAAATTTAATTTGGGTGCAGCATTGCATGACCGCACAATTTTTTCAGTTAAAGTAACGCAGTGCCATAATGCAAAAAATGGCCTGGTCAAGAAGAAGGGGTAAATCCTCTGGAGGGCAAGTGGTTAATGAGGTGTATTTCCTAAACACAGGAAATCTGAATCTATAAGAACATTTCCATCCTTTTGAAACACTTCTGTTCTGTGAAGGCACAGATCCACTACGTTTATATAAAGGGCAGTTTACAGAGTTACGAAAATCAGTTATACGGACAACATTGTGAAGGACTGCAAGAAACATGTACAATACTACATTATGCTTGAAGATTCTTTTGGGGACAGCATATTGAGTTGTTGTTAATCAGAGCAGCTGAAAATCAGTCTGAGCACAGACAAATATACAGAGCTGTATCTACTAACTTGTGCTACATTTGGCAGAGGATGGATCTGGGATTATACATACATAAACTTGTCATTGCTGGCTATCATTTAGTAATTAAAGGCACATGTGTAACTCTCGTATCTTCCTGCAGAATTCAAGCTTCCTGGATGAGAGCTGGCTTTTACCGGTACACTTTATCCTTCTCTTTTATTGCTGATTTGTGTGACACGTCTTCCATGGTGGCTTTGAATTTGTCTGTTAAAAAGTATTTCATAGCTGTAGTTATAACCCTGAGTTTCCATGCCATATTAAAGTAGAATTTCATGCCACAGCTAAAAGAAAATATCCTTTTACTCCAGGTATGTATCTATTGAACTCGGTGGTGTTGAATTTTTTGAAAAAACTACTTGTCCAGGGACTAAATCGGTGTCCCAATCTACTTGTCCCTGAGGACAATCTACTTGTCCTGATAAAAATAAATACATTTGACCAAAACCGTATTTAAATCTGAAGTGCTTTATGGAATGTCTGGGGCTTTTAAAAACAAAAGGGGCTTTATGGTGACTTAAATGTTTAGTAATTTTAACATTGCGCTGTTTATCTCCTCCCCTCCCTTTGCTGCCCCTCTCCAGCACTGCACGGGACTAGCAGGGAGGGGAGACTGCAGGGACTAGCAGGGAGGGGAGAGACCTTGCAGTGTAATGAGCACCAATTGGCTGCTCGTCAGGAAATTGGCATGTTGGACTTATCCTTTATCCCTTTTGCTGCCAGAGCTGTTTTTGCGTTTTTTGCACACATTTAAAAAATCATTTTAAGTTTAAAGATTACATAAAACCCCCAAATATGATATATTTTCTGAAAGCAGAGGCCCTAAAGAATAAAATAGCGGTAGTTCCAATTTTTTATGTAATACAATTTTATCACAAAGGTCTAAGAAATGCAAAATTTCAGTAAAAAAGACACTTAAGTTAATTTTAGGGCACAAAAAGCAATACATTATTCAATTTTTTGTAAAATATAAAAGTTGAGGTTGCATTGAGAGAATAGATATCCAACATGTCAAATCTTAAATTTGCATGAAACAGCAACAAACTTTAGTACCCTATATTTTCTATAGGTGACGCTTTTAAAGCTCCTTATAGGACATCAGTTTAGTGTTACAGAGGAGGTCTGGTGCTAGAATTATTGCTCTCATTCTGGCGTGCGCGGCAATATGTAATGTGTATTGTAAAGTCGTTTTTCATGTGCAGGTGCCCCAGCATGTGCTTTTACATTTGTGAGTGTGTACATATGTGGGGGTGGGGGGCCTTGAAAAATTTGGGTTTGATATGTTATGGTGCAACTTACATTTTAAAAAATAAAAAATTTTTTACTTAATTTTTTTTATAACATAGGTAACAAAAAGTCACCTATGTGATGATTTTTGGTGACAGGTTCTATTTTTTGAGACATCCAGGGTCTAAAACACTCCGGATGTCTCTCCTGTGCTCCCATGAATGTAATGCAGTGCACATCGCACTGCATTACATTCTTTCCTGGCCGAGAATCTGGCAATGGGGACCTGGAAGTGACATCACATCACTTCCGAGTCAGGACAAAAAGGGGAGGGGAGCGGACGTATCCGTTCTCTTCCCTCCTCTATAACCGCATCCCGAGATACCACCAGCACCCACTGTCTGGTCCCGGGGTGCAGATGCGCAAGCGGAGCCCGGGACATATAGCGGGACCCGGGGGGTTTGGGGGGGCGGCGGATGGCACTGTGGGCTGTGTGGAAGCAATCGAGCAGCAGCATTGCCACCTGAATGCTTCCACCTGACAGGTATTTCCTTTTGGAATAAAGATTATACTTAAATAGAAAATGATAATTTTAGTCATCCCTGCCAGTGTTTCATGTTCCAAAACAACTTTATTAACCACTTCCAGTCCGGACACTTTTACCCCCTTCCTGACCAGGGCAATTTTCAGCTTTCAGCGCTATCACACTTTGAATGACAATTGCGCGGTCATGCAACACTGTACCCATATGAATTTTTTACCATTTTTTTTGAGACAGATGAAACTTTATTTTGGTGGTATTTATTCACCGCTGGGATTTTTATTTCTTTTGCTATGTAAATGAAAATGTCCCAAAATTTTGAAAAAAAGTGTTTTTCTTATAAAATTTTGCAAATAATATTTTATCATAAATCTTGGCCAAAATTTATTCCGTTATCTTTTTATTAAAAAAAAAAAAAAAAAGCCAAATTAGTTTATAACCAAAAATTATAATTTTTAAACATTTTTTTTTTTTTACATTTTTATTTTTTTTTTTAATATTTTTTTTTTTTACATACAGTCACCCTAGCAGTACAGTGTCACAATGGTGACACTGTACTACTTTTGGGGGTGATGAAGATTTTTTTTTTTTTTTTTTTCACACTGATTGCTTTTACACCCATATAGGATGTAAAACAATCATTTCTCTTTCTCTCTGTCTGCATTCTTGCAGCCATTGAGAACTACTGAGTGAGCTGTGATTGGTCACAGCTTGTCACATGGTACAAGGCTGTTGTGAATAGCCTTGTACCATGTGACCTCTGTGATCATTCACAGATTTCACACGTAGTAAGCAATGATGTCAGAAGTGGTGACTGGCCAATCAGTGATCACATGATTGGGACCCCGTACAGAGGTCCCATCCGACGATCAGTGTTTCGCTGTGTCCTCGGCACCGGATCGCGGTGCTGCGAGCTCCCAGGGAGCGCGCACAAGCAGGGTGTGGGGAGGCCGTTTATAAACGGTCACCCGACCCTGCAGTGCCACCGTCCGGCCGTTTTTATATACAACAGCCGGTCGGGAAGTGGTTAAAATAAAGCATTGGGAAATAATCAGGGTTACATTTCGAATAAAGTATGCCAACTACTGTTACAGAAAAAAATTGTTAATTCAACGGAAGAGTACTGTACTATTGCATCAGTCATGTACCTCCGTTTTAATAGTAAATGGGTAAGAAATGCCTTACTGTTAATGCAAATCAAGCATAGCAGTTGAGCACTGTATTCAGCGGTTGCCTCAAAGATAAGTGGCCGTTTGTGCCAGCCATCTGTCCCAAACCTTGTTGTATTTGTTGGGGCATCCTCTGTGTGTATGTAAATCATTTTTTTTTTTTATATGGAAGGGTGGTGTTTACCTCCTACACCCATGTCTCATATGTAGGGGGGGTTGTCTGCATCCAGTTTTGCACAATCACTTTGCAGGCTATAAACAGTGTCTCTTGTAGACATATGGTCAAAAACTTGTCCATGTTGGGCTGTGGGAAGAGACCAAGTAGGCAAGGCCTTTGGTCCAGGGGCAAAGGGGCACCCACATGGTCATGCAAGAATCTAACATTCTGAGCCCAAAAGGTTTGTACCACGGGGCAGGACCAGATGAGGGGAAAAAAGGTGCCCCGACCTGTAGACAAGGTAGACATAAAGAGTTGTGGGAAGGTTTATAGCAAGACACACAGACTGGAGTCAGATGTACATCCTACACAGGGCTCATCTGGGTCAAGAAATCAGAGACTTTGGGTGAGACCATTTTATAGTTATCCAAAACTTTCTCCCAATCCACCTAAATCATGCTCTCACTTAGTTTTGACTCGGTAGGCCAGCTTGGTTGCAGATGGGGTTAACAGGGTATTATAGAGCATGGATATTAATTTAGCAGGTTCAGAGCCTAATATTATCTCTGTCAATGGTAGGGGATAATGTGGGGGAATACCATCAGAAAACTAAGCGGGCAGTGCATGTCACAATTGCATATATCTGAAAAGCATATAGTTGGGGAGGGAGAACTCGGCTTGTAGTTCAGTGAATGTTTTGAGACCACTGGTTGTATATAGCTGATTGAGGTATAGAATCCCCTGTGAGGCCCACAATGTTGGGTCTTGAATAAGTAGTAGTTCTGGTAAATGGTGATTGTGCCAGAGTGGTGTATGACTATGAAGGGTGGGATCCGTCTCTTCTGTGTATGGCCAATTCCCAGATGGGTTGATGATGGCATAAAATGCTATCTTAGGCACATAGGGGGTTGATACCTCTAGCTCCTCTGAGGATCGACTGCAAAGGTGTATGGGCTGGTGGCTGCCTGCAGACCAAATTAGACCTTCGCAAATCCAATTTATCAAGGTGGTAGAAGTGAGATAATTGGGCAGCTATTTGTAGAGATCGAAATTGGGCAGGGCCTCATCACCTAAGGCTGTGTGGGGTTTATTAATATTTGCCAGGGCAACTTTTTCCTGCCGCTTCCCCAAACAAAAGAATTTAAAAGGGAGTCATTGGTTTTGAAGAGTTTTAGTGGCAAATACAGGAGAGTGCCAAATAGCATATAAAGGTTTAGGTAGCAGAACCATTTCAATTATATTGATCCTCCCCATAACACCTAGGGGCAGCTTTGCCCACATTTGGGTTTTTGTTTGATTACAGTGAATAAAGGTTCAACATTTTAAGGAGCTGTATTCCCGCAGAGAGTGAGAGACTGACACCCAGGTATTTAAATGAGTCTACACAGGCAAGGGGCAGGTTGGCCTGATTCGTAGCTGATGGAAATTGGTCAAGAGGAAAAATTTGGAATTTTTCCCCATTGATGCATAGTCTGAAGTGAGCTCCCAGTTGATCAATAACATGCAGTGCAGAAATAAGTGAAGGCCATGGATCTTCCAGATAGTGTCGTCTGCATACATGCTTATCTTTTCCACCATAAGGCCTGATCGTAAGCCACTAATACCAGGATGAGAACATGGCTAACGGTTCAGCCACGATTGTGTACAGCATTGGGGAAAGGGGACATCCTGGTGTGTGCCATGTATTAGGTGAAAGGAGTCTGACACCCATCCATTGACAGAGACTTTAGCCACAGGGGATTGATACACTAATTGTACCCACTTAATATAATTTGGACCAAACCCGTACCTCCCCAGACACTCCCAGCGGTATCCCCACTCCACCAAATTGAATGCCTTAGAATGCTGGTGGCACTCGAGGATATTACCTACATTTTTGTGTGAAGCCTGACTATTCATAAATAACTGCCAGATGTTAATTGAGGTGTTCTTACCTGGCATAAAGCCGGTTTGATCCGAGTGGACAAAGGATAGGATGACACGGATTAAGTTGGAGGCTAAGATTTTGGCCAGGATTTTACTATCTACCTGTAGCAGGTAAATGG